CGCCAGAGACACCCGCGCTACCGCATCTGGCACCATTGTACATATATATATATAGATTTCTATCGTTATTGTATATACCGCAAGCGTCACATCCACACACACACTTACACATCCGCCCCTCCCCCCACACACACACACACACACACATTGACAGACATAAATAAAATTACGTTTTATTACACTACCACGTCGCATACAAATTCGCATCTTCCTCTCCCGCCGAACCTCTTTTACGCCCCGTATTCGTTACGGCCGTAGTACAAGCCGACGAGCTAGTCCGCGCATAAAAGTCAGATTGTTTCAAATTGGTATGTGGTTCTTGCAATCTACCTCTCTCGTCCTCCGACAATTTCCCCACCTTTCCGACCCACCCCTGTTGCCGTCGCGAATTAAATGTGAGCAATTAATTTAACGTAGATAAAAATTATCGAAAGAGTGGCACGCTCTTTCGTGCTTGGCGCCCAATTTGTTTAATAGAAGGCTCTGTAATAATTGTGAAAATCTATCTATGACGGTCGAGATCTTACATTTATCTTGTATAAAAATTCCTGTAAATAAAAAAAGTCACAGAGCACGCGACGAAGTTGTAGCTCGCAAGCACGATTACAATACATATATATATTTTTTTCGTTTTATCTTGTATAATGTACTTTAAAGCCTTATTGAAGGTACTTTTCGTATCATATCGACCATATTTAAAACCCTCGCGTTAGTATTTTTGCGATACTGACATAAATTGGTCGCGTTTCTTATATAATCTAAGACTCTATCTAACGACAGCGAGATCATGGTGGAAGAAGACAGGTGAAACAATCCCCACAACAATTCTGAGTAATCAGCTAGCTTATCTTTTAATTCTAAATTTTGGTCTTACATCCCTCAAGTTGTCTCACCTGTCTTTTTCCATCGCGAGCGGGACTATTCTCGCTTTAATGGCGACTGCGAACACGCTTGGAGTTTGTACCTGGCAAATAAATAGGTGCCAGTATCTTCAAATAGTGAATCTTTATTTGAACCTCAAACGGCACAATATTAATAGAGCGAGTATTTTTTGGGAATAATATTTGTTAAATATTTCCTAAACACCATGCAATTTAAATCACATATCTTACACAATTTTTATATAAAATATGCTCTTCGAATGTATAAATAAAAATTATCTATCTATTTTTTAAAATCAAATTGATCTTAAGGACCTTAAAAAGATTTTTTATTCTCACCTTTTTTCCTCTCTGAACTTTCAAACTTTTGTTTCTACACTGAATTTATATATTCCAACAATAAAATACTTTACTATTAAGATTATTGTCATATAACTGCATTTAATAGAACTCGTAAAAGAATCATATACAATTACATACATGTTCAAGTATTACTTAACAAATTTTTGTATTACATCTACATCCACGAAGATTATACTTCCTAGAACTTTCCAGTATAATGTGTAGTTTAATCAACAGTCCTAAAAATAAAAAAAACATCAATTAATATACATAATCAAATGTATTATTGTTAAAAACATGACCACAGTAATAATAATATACTAAGTGGATAACTGTACTTGAATTAATTTAAAAAATTATATACTTAAAAATGCAATATGCTGAAACACAAACAATATCAGAATTATTTCGGTACTTATAAAAATGAAAAGTATTTAAAGCAAATATATTATTATGTATCAATATACCTACATCTACTACATACAGAATGTATTTTTCTATTACGTACAATACAAAAGCATATTGTAATGTACAAAACATATTGTAATAATTTATTAATATATTTTAAGTTATTTATTTGATTTAAAATAAATATGCAAATCAACAATAATAATATTTCATAAATATAATTATTGTTAAAGCTCCTGAGTAGTCGCTGTAACCATATTGGATGATATAGTAAAAAATAACAATTATCAGTAATTAAAATTTTAAATTTAAGCAATTTAAGCTTTAAATTTTAAAGTTTAAAACATTTATAAAAATGAAAAAAAAACTATCCTTACCTGTCTTTGACAATCAGTAAATAGTCATAAATGACATAAAGTGAAACGTAAACTAGTCTACACATGTGTATTAGGTAAACGCACTTCTTGTGCCATTTACGACAATATGTACTAACTATCAGAAGAGAAAGATAGCTTTTTTCTATTTTTACCAAATTTTTAAAGCGATCTCATTATTTTATTTTATTCAAATTATCTTTAGCTCGAATCTACAATAGGTTTTTAAGCCTTGAACCAAAAGAAATGAGCGAATCATAATCAATTATTCTCCTCGCATTCGACTGTAATTAATCAATTTTTTCTTAAGGCTTAAAACACCTATCTAGACTTACTTACAAATAGAGTGCTAGAAACTTCAACGTATCATTTCTCTTATGATGTCACGATCGAATATATATAGTCGCAGAGACTATTCAGGAATCTCAAAACAAATTAAGAGATATAGGTAAGAATAAATAAAAAAATATCATGCAACATTCAAAAGATTTTCAAAGGAATCGGTATCGCTATAAATTGTACATGCAGGATTTTCTGTAATAAAGTCATATTCTACATACACCACACGAAGTGTATTCGTAAAGCCCGAGCCTTGCCGCCATCCTGTCACAACTATTACAGAATCACCAATTTTGATAAAACCACGAATTTTACCAAAATTTAATCCGTATTGTACACGTACATCCACATCCTTCACCCAATCGACCAGTGGTACTTCTATATAACAAAGAATATAATATACACATATGTATATATATATATAGTTTATATATATAAACTATATATAAAAAGGGTTAAAAGGTCGGTGTCCCGACCTTTTTTGCCAATCATTTTTGTGTAGATAGAGCGGACTACACTGAATCGAAAAGTCCTCTACCATTTAGCAATTTTTGCAATAGTTAACAAGATATTAATTACTAAAAATTACGAAATAATAAAACGAAATCTTGAATAATTTTTCACTCAAATACTATCAACTTTACAGAAAAACTGCAACAGACAAAAATCATTAATTTTTTTCTCATAAAGTTATGAGAATTTTTTATCAACTTTTTAGTACAGCATTTTCTTATTTTTACTAACGTGAGAAAATACGATATTAAAAAATCGTGAAAAAATTCTCAGAACTTTATGAAACAAAAATAAATAATTTTTGTCTCTTGCAGTTTTTCTGTAAACACTAAGTATAAGCGCATTCAGGCCTATGACGGTCAAAGCCAGATCTTTTTTGCCTAAATAATTCCCAGTGAATTATCTATATCCTATATATGTACATGCATATATATCATATTTTTATAATTATTCAAACTGCGCGCCGAAATTTTTCCGGACTTTATCTAACGCAATTAAACTACTGCAATAATATCATAAGTTAAATTAAATTGACAATGTGCTGAAAACCTTAAATAAATTTATTGCGATAAATATTACCTCGGCCGGGACTTGAATCCGGATCTCTTGTATTCCGTACGAACGTCTTAAGCCATTAGGCCACCGAGGCCTTAGTAATATTCTTCGCAATAATCAGTATATGTAAGAACATATACTTTTTCTGTAAAGTTGATAGTATTTAAGTAAAAAATTATTCAAGACTAATATTTTGCAATTTTTAGTAATTAATCTTGTTAACTATTGCGGAAATTGCAAAATGGTAAAGGACTTTTCGACTCAGTTTAGTCCGCTCCATCTACACAAAAGTGATTGGCAAAAAAGGTTGGGACACCCTGTGTATGTGTGTATAGAGAGAGAGAGAGAGAGAGAGAGAGAGAGAGAGAGAGAGAGAGAGAGAGAGAGAAGAAAGGCCCCTGTCATGATATCGAGTTAATTTTGGACAGGGTTGACAAGTAACGCGTTATTTATAACGTCGTAACCGTTACAAATAACGCCGTTACTTGCTAACTCTGCCCTACTTTTTTCAGTAACGAATAGGTAACGACGTTAGATTTTCTTCTGAGTAACGTTCATGGTAACTCAATTACATTTTTGGAGTAACGGTAACGATTTTACTACATACTTTTATCGTTACTTATTTCTAACTACGTAAAAATTTAGTCGTGTAGTATGTGTGTGTGTGTGTGTGTGTGTGTGTGTGTGTGTGTGTGTGTGTGTGTGTGTGTGATGTGCGTGCGTGCGCGTGTGTGTGTGTGCGTGCGCGTGTGTATAACCCTAGAAAACAGAGGTAAAATTATATTAATTAACAATCTGATTGGCTGTCTAAATCACGCGATCACACTTTTTATTTCATTGATTCACAGTTTACACGTATAGACTAACTCAGATATAATCTTTACAATATATTTAATTTCTTAAAATAAAATTTTTTCTGTGTCATATCTTACAAATTAAATATGTTTATAATGCAGATTACAAACAATACTATTTTTTATTATAGTGTACAACTTTGCTTCCGCCGTTTTTTTCCGAGATTCAAGGCTTTATTCTAAAAAAACTGGTTATACATTTATGATTCAAAGTATTGTCCATCGCTGGCCACTACTTTCTCCCATCTTTCGGGCAGCGTACGAAT